TCTACATTAATTATAATAATAACATCGTCATTAAACTTTTGAAATGATTAAAAATAATTGGACAGTATGTTTGAATCGTAAATTCTTTTATAGAGCTCCATATTCCTCGTTAGTATGTATAAATTATTAAATATAGCCATTACAAAACCTTACATGTGTTGTTGAATAGAATACAGGGAGCTTCATGATTTGAAGTAGAATATTTAATCTAGAAACCAACCTCTTCGTCATCCATCCATCACATGACAATTGTAGTATTTATCAAGAGCTTCCACTCGACCCCCATTAAATTAAAGATGCCATTTACAAAGGAATTAGGATACGCAAGTAACTTAAAAGACACTAAAACTTTATTACTAACAATAATAACCTTATAATAGTTTATTCAAAGCGATAAATTTAAGTAACTTATATCTTTTGATAACTTTTTGAATGTGGTATCCATCTTATTTTTAACATAATAATGTTAAATTAATACATATATTCAATAAAAGTTTTATTTTGTTTTTTTGGCAATGAAATAAAAACAAAAATACATATTTAAATACATACATAAAAATACATACTTTTCTCAATGAAAACACGAAAACATAAAATAAAATTGTCTCCTAAAATTAGACCTATTTTCTGACGACTGTTTTTTTTCTTTGCATACTTAGAAGATGCAGTAATTAAAGCAAAATAACTTAAAATCTGAGAACGGTATAACATGTATGAAAGCCTACCTGAATCTTATTTGCTCTACTATTCAGTCTAACCTGAACAGGAATATCTCAAGCTATACATTCTTGAGTTCAAACGCTGATGTGCCAACCAAACGAATTTTATTTACACCTTGATTTTTAAGTCAAGGTACTGATCTGAGTGTTTTCTTTCTTTCACCAGTAATGATGGTTATAATTCATAGCAAAACAGATCAGTTTATAAGGTCATCAGTTTGCCATGCCATTCAGTTCGGGTGTCGAAATAGTCTTGGGCCTAAGAAGTCCAGAACTAATATCATTTCATTATTAGAAGGTGCTTCGAAGGCAGCCCTAGAAGGTTCTTGGCAAATTCGGTTAGGTAGAGAGAGGAGCTTGGACGGCGGAGGTGAGTATTTAAAGCGCGTTAGATAGGAGCCTCTTAAACCTACATCTTGGTCGCAAGTCGCAGGCGCTGTTGAAGCTCCTCTCCCTGTAACGCAATAGAGCCGGCACCCGCACAGTGAATCCATTGAATGCTAAGAAATTTTGGTCTCAGATACTCCAAGACTTTTTTTTAAACATTAAAACATGTTAATCTTTTAATAGAAAGTTACAAATTTAATTTCTGAAATAAATAAACCCTGAAAATTAAAACAAAATGTACTGTGTTTGTTTTTCTAGTCCTTTGCGACTTTAGTAAGTACTTAATAGAGTCGATGGCACTCTAACAATAAAGACAAATCCTTACAACATAATACCACAGTAGTTTCTTTTTTCCGTTCGCCAACTTAAAACCACAGACCAAAACGACTTTATTGTGGTACTCTTGTTCGGGTCATTGTCTGGTTAAATATCTAACAATTAAAAAAACTATCACGAAGACGTTTTTCTTTGAAAAGAATGACGAATAGCTACAACGCTGAACTAAATATGATAACTTATTTACTTGACAAAGAATTTTTTTTATAAAGTACATAATCGATCATATAATATGTAGATTCAGCTATTTTACTAAGTGTGCCACAAATATAGATATTTAGATAAAATAAAAGACAAAATATATGTTTAGAAAATATATATATATATATCATATTTTTTTATCTATATTAATAAAGAGGAAAGATTTGTTTGTTTATTTGTTATGAATAGGCTACGAAACTACTGAACCGATTTCAAAAATTCTTTCACCTTTGGAAAGCTACATTATTCCCGAGTTATATAAGCTATATTATATTTAAATAAAAATTAGGGATCCTTACTAAAACTCCAATAATGTAACCCAAGGAGTAACAAAATGATCTGAAAAATTCCTTACGTCACGTGCACTGCGAAAACTATTGATGATAGAACCAAATCATTTACTACGACTTTGCAGAACTCATCATCATCTACAAAAAGTGTCGCGACAGCATATGTCTAAATATTACAGTTATGTCACAGTAAGCGGTTTTTTATTCTAAAAATTTAATTTACATGCCGCCGCTTGAAAAGGCTCTTTATTTGTACCTTGGTATTAATCCTTATCAAATTAAATTGCTTTATATTCTAGACGGCTTCAATACCTTTTTATAACTCTTTGAATTATTCAGTTGGGACATTTCATTCGGAAGATATCACGAGTTTAAAAATGCAAGTATTAGAAAAAAGTCGCGTGGTTGAAGCTCATCGCGCTCAGCTAGCCAGCATGCGATGTAGGCTCCATGTAAGCGTCACTGGGGTACGAGGGGGGAGTCAATCACAACTAATATTATAGATGCGAAAGTAAGTCTGTCTGTCTGTTACGCTTTCCCGCTTTAACCTCTCAACCGATTTTGATGAAATTTGGCACAGACAATCTTTAGACCCTGAGAAAAAACATAGGCTACCCTTTATTGCGAAAAAGGGGATGAAGAGGTTGAAAGTTTGTATGGGATTTCTTAATTTTAAAAGATAAAACCATGAAACTTTATATTGAGGCATTAGATAAGATATATTTAAACATTTGTTCTAGCGTTTTTGAAATTTCGACCAGTGAGGAGGTGAAATAAGGGTTGAAAGATTGTATGGGATTTCTTAATTTTAAAAGATAAAACCATGAAACTTTATATTTAGGCACTTGATAAGACATATTTAAACATTTGTTCTAGCGTTTTTGAAATTTAAAATCGTTTGTAATTTTTACCACCGTGGGGGTGAAATTCTACACACGGAATTCCCGAAATTCGAAAAGAACGGAATAGGGACTATGAAGCTAAACTTTTTGTAAACAAAATTTTAACCACTGAACCTAGGAACATCATATTTAGAAGTTTTAGGTGTATCAAGTTAAAAAAAATTGGCTTTTGAAGTTAAAGTTCCTTTAAACGAATAGGTAATCTGCATCGCCGCCGCTGCCGTCGGTCGTCGTCGCCGCACAGTGGGAAAGCCATACAAGGCCGTCTCAAAACCCCTTCACATGAAAGTCGTTGTTATGGAGTAAAACTAATTAATTAATTTAGTCTTATAAATAAGCTTTCTCTATTTTTTTTATTATTTTTTGCAAACCATAATATATATTTAAAGGCATCAAAGTTAACTCATGTACAATGGTGTTACTTTGGCCCAGTACATTACTTCAATTCAACGCCACAATACTTGAAAGTATTACTAATATTATAAATGCGAAAGTAACTCTGTCTGTCTGTGCGATACGCTTTCACGCCTAAACCACTGAACTGATTTTAATGAAATTTGGTACAAAGATAGAGTTGACCTTGAGAAAGATCATAGAATAGTTTTTATCGCAGACTTTTGAAAAGGTTCTCTTGGAAACGCGATATAACCGAACTCCACGCGGGCGAAGCCGCGGGCGGAAACCTAGTGACCAATATTTAAAGATCAAATAATATTCCTCTATTTTTTCAGTACTGTTTAAGTGGATTGCTTTGTGTTATTGAAAAAGATTGGTATTCTAATCATTTCGAATATTGTTTTCATATTGATTCAATTATATGATAGGATGATATGTGGTAGCTCATATTATTTCCCCATACAAATTAACCACTGCGATTCAAACTGTATAATTACAATGGTTTTTGCGGTTATAATACAATATGCATTACAATATTTACTGTGTTCCGTTCACCGCACACCACATCCCCACAATAATTATTAAAATAATCAGAATTGATGAATATTCAATTCACTATAATTATATTATGTTTTTGGGTACATATAAATATGTAGATATAATCTATCGGAAAGAGAAACTTTTAAAAAGGATTAGAATAGTTGTTAATATAAAGTACGAAACTAATTTTAATATATTTAAATTATTGTTTGACATATAACATTGGTTATAATCTTTTAATCATTTAATTGTTTCTTAAATGTATCAATCCCCCTGTCATACATATCCGTCTGGATTTTGCTTATGCGTGCTTAAATTAAGAAGATTCGTTCAATTCAAATGGATATTTCACTGACAGCTTTAAATAAAGGAAAATTTAATAATAAAGTGTTGAGCTGAAAAGATTTAAGTAAGCAGAATATGAATTTTTGGGAATTTGTTTCAGTCTATGGCTGACAAGGTGGATTATTATTTTACATTATTATCATAAAATATACAATGAAGAAATATAATATAAAAGTCTCACACTTGTTTCATGTGTTTTGCCTTAATAATTGATAAGTTCGTTATTTTAACGCAGTTTTTATTTTACGTTTTTAAATAATTAGTATACATTTTTAACGCATTTTCTTCTTTTTCTTTGAGATGTACATAGAATAACTATACTCATGCAATGAATGTGGACTATTAAAATAGATTTATTTTGGAAATCATTAAAATAAGGTAAAATGAAATAAAGAACTATTTGAATGTTTTATAAATTCTTGGGTTGGTGTATCATGGAGGTGGAAAATAAAATTTTGTTCTGTGAATATAAAGTAAATTGAATGTTCTGTGAAAATGATTTTACAAATTGATATAAAATGCTGTAATTAATTGTATTTTTATTATTGTTATGTGAGATAGTTCTACAGAATGACTTAAGTGTATCAAACACATATTCAGGCCGTATATTTCTTTTTAATTTTTATCATAATTTGATTCAGTACCAATGATTATTAAAATATTAAAATTGAAATAAAAATAATTCATCGGAAATATTTTAATTCATCTTCAAATAATGTATTGTTTGTTTATGGTATTTGTTGTTTGTACACAAAAGTGAATGTTTGAGCTTCTGAGACAAACAACGTTTTACAAACATTTCAATGCGTTTGTGTGTACAGAGAGAGTAAACAGTGTAATACTCATTTGTTAGCTGGAAATCTTATTACTTTTACTCCAAAAACATGATTGTTTTAAGACTTTATATGCTTATTTGTGTATATCCGTTAGTAGCTTCAATTAAAGGTATGATAAACGTTAACAAATTCTGTGACTTAACCTCGGAAGAGTCAACCAAGCGGTGCTACATCAAAGAAACTTTGGCAACGCTTGCTCATAGTCCGAACCAATTAGCTGTCAGCAAAGCTTCTAACACGCTTTACTTCAGCTTTGATGCCGGTCAGGGGGAATATCTACCCGCAATTCTGAACATTGACACAAAAAAACTGACCGTAATAAAAGGTGTCAAAGACGCTTTTGCGATAGCAGTCGATTCAAAGGAGGAAATCTACTTTGGCGGTAGTCATGGCATTTACAAATATAACCGGCCTTTGAGAAGCCTTAAGAGACTAAATGTGACCAATTTAGATGTCTGGTGGTTACAAATAAAATCACGTTTGTATTTTATAAAATTCCCTAGTCTCAAGGCATATTATTATGAGAATAAAATAGTCCAACCGGTTCTTGAATTGAAGAACACGACTGTTAATCAGTTCGTTTTTGATTCTGACAATAATACCTTTTTTATAAACGGCTCAGGATTGTTCGGTATTAAAAGGGGACAGGGAGAAGCAATATTGTTGAAGGATATTCCAAGATTTTTCGGGATGGCTGTTGATAATTCCGGTTACGTACATTTGTGCAGTGAAACTGGAATCTTCGTGATAAGCAAAATGGTTCAGAAAGTTAAACGGATTGTGAGAGTGAACGGTGTTTTGGGTTTGGCTTTCGATAAAAATAATAATATAATTTATTCTGACTCTCATGATATTTTTCGTCTCAAGCCAGTGTCGAGTGAAGAGTATTTTAACATAGCTAATAATAGTTTACAATAGAAATTTCTGTCCTTTAATTTGTGAATTTAAGTGTAACAAATATGCTACAAAAAGTCAAAAACAATGCTATAGTCATCATTATATTCAAAATTAAAAGTACCATCAAAATAAAATATTTTTTAGTCTGAAACTATCCTGAAATTTTAATAGGACAGTGAATACACAATGTACTGCTGTTGTTCTGACATGCAATATAATGCATTTTAAAACGGCTCAGCGGAGGTTTATTATAAATTAAATCAGCACACGTTATAATGTAACCAGCATTCATGAATATATATCACATATTCAACAATAATCCCTAATGTTTATTATTATTCACGTTATATTTGATTTTAATTAAGCGAAATTATATTTCAATTTAGTGGTCAGTTCTCTTATTGGTTGTTACAATATAAAAATATTTGATGGTTTGCTGGCAAATAAAAACTAGTCAACTAAACATGCCATTCATGTTTCGTCCTTTTTATTTTCAAATATTTTTTGAACAAGTTTGTAATTGTTTTTAAACCCGCATATAAAAAAATGAGTCAATTTGAGAATTATTCATTAAATGTTATCTGTAATGGAGATCTGTACAGAACGTCGATTTTATTACTTATGGGGGATTAAATCGGCCGAATAATTGGATTTTTCAAATAATTCTATATTATATAAAGCATAACAAAGATTTGAATGACATGCAATAATAGTATTTTATATCAATTTTTTTATAAATTAATAGAACTTTATTGGATGCATTTAAGCTGTTTAAATAATTGTACAAGTTTTTTTTTAATAATCCCTTAATAATGATTAAGAATAAATGAGAAAAACTACTCATATTAAGTGGGATAGAAACATATTTTTCTTATTTACTGTCTATTTATATATTAAATGATGTAAAAAATAATTTTATTTCTATGAATTCCATTTTGATGATAATTTTTATTAACATTTTTAAACATATAACAATCATATCATTATGTAAAGTGTTGTTATGATTTAAATAAAAACCACTTATTATATTGTTTCAACATACAATCCAGCTTACAGGGGGTCTTAAAATATTAAAATTATACATATTAAAATATAAATATTTATTAATTGATTGACTTTCAAAATAGAAATAGTTAAAAATATATTCTTGCTTACTTCGTAATTTATATTTATAAATTCATATCAATCATTTCCACAAAATTCATAACTTCATTTAGTAAACCAACAAGTATATACTTTATGTTAAATATTTTTTGTTTATAAACATATTTTATATAAAAACATTATTTGTTTAAAATTATTGACAAACTTGTGTAAAAAAATTATTACATCACTCTCTATCAAAGACGCAAACACTGTTTAATCAAACAAATTAGCAGTGGCACATATTTACCCAACTTAAACATAAACAAGATGGAATAATTCTAGTTGTTTTTTGAGGAAGTAAAGACTGTAAATAATTTGTGTTTAATTCTTATCACATAAAGAGCTATTTAGACAACCTTTAACAACGCCCTCGTTGATTCCCTATCAGCTTTGTGTATTACCTTAACCGCTATATAATGAATGAAGGGTAAAATCTCCATTACCATTATTAACTGCAATTACCTGCTTAATTGGTTGAATAACATTTTTAAGGTAAAAATACCTAATTTTCCCTTTGGGGTTTTCTTTTAACCGGGGAAGCTATGTACTTATGTGGCAAATTTGACTTGTACTTTTTTGAAGTGAAGAATGAAAATCATAAAAAAGATCAAGTATGTTTTAAACGAAAACTAATTAAATGGAAGCGGTGCTAAGATATACTTTACCAATAATGAAAATAATACATAAGTTAAATGAATAACAAACTTCTGCTTCAAATATAGAAGGGTTCCTTCTTTCATTTTATTTTAAAACAATAATTCTCAAGTGATTCACAATATTTTTTAATAAAATGACATTTTGGAAAATATTTCAAAACATAAGATTTTGTGAAATTATTGAAAAGATAAATACGTATGTATATGTGAGTACGTTTTAACCAAAAGTATATTATATGGAGTTTTAATGTCCGAATTAATATTTTTGTTAAAAAGAGTACGTAGTAAAGACTACATATTGTCTCAATACTATAAATACAATACTTAATTACTTAATACAATACTTGCACCGTTTGTATGTTAAGGTTTAACTGTAATAAAAATCCATAAGAACAAATATATATAATATTACTTATCATTTTATGTTTTTACCTTTCTATCACTTTATAAATATCTTTAGTTCTTATACGTATAAAACCCTTTACTACCAACTATTAGAAGACTGACGTCAATGGCAGATATGAAACTGGTACAATATTTGAATAGAGAAACTTTGTTACGAACATACATACAAAGTTTCATCCTTAACGCATGCCCCATAGATATAGTAGTTTATTTCAATAATTTATTGTATAAAATCATTTAATAATAAATTAATTATTATTCTTAGTTAACATCAAAAACATAGTGTGAATGAACTAATGTTTTTCGGATTATACAACGCGTATATTATTGTTTTAAATATGTACTACATACAACCGACGTTTCGGTTACTTTTCAAAAACATAGTGTAAACATTTTTATGAAAGTGAAATATATTCAAATAAAAAAATGCATTGGTAGATAAGAATATATGTAGGTAATTCATGATAATTGTATATGATTAACAATGTAAAAATAAGGAATGGTTGAAGGAATAAGCATTACTTTCCAAATGTTAAGCTTAGCACAATGTCTAGTAAAAGAGTTCTTCTTATAAAGATTTTCAAGTTTTGACAATGTTTCTAAATAAGTGATAAAGAGCAAAAACTAAAAGCGTTAGATAGAATTAGACATATTATTATTTACCTCATTAAAAATCAGTACATGCATTACTACTATAAGTGGGTACATACAGTACTAGTACATGTGTACTCGTATAATATACAACTGAATATAAAGAAATAAAAAAGGAAACAAGCTTATAACTATAAAAAGTAAAAATAAATTACTATTATTACAAATATTAATGTTTCTTTCAATTCAATGCTCATACAGATTGGTTTTCTGAAAAATTATAGATAAGAAAAAGATATATTAGATATCATAAATAAGACAAACCATAAAATATTGGTTGTTTAAATATTGGTAAGTACTAAACCTATTAGTTTTGTAAAATGATTTACTTTTCTGTTCTTATAGATTGTTTTTAATATGTTTGTATCTAATATCTCGTATTATATATTACACTTTGTTGGTCGACATAGACGTACAAGGAGCAAAAATCATTTTAGAATAGTTTTTTAGTAAGATATAACCACGTGTTCCCGTATAAAGATAATATGTGTTTCTAAATATCAATTCTTGGTCGAGACTTCGCTATCTTACTATCCCGCTGTGAACAGCTAAGGTTTGGAGGAAAAAGGGATGACTCTTCCACTTGTTAAGCGTAGCACAGTGTCCAATATAAATAATTAATGTATATTTATATAAAAATGTATAGTATAAATTGGAGATCTATGAAAGAAGATCTGGGGCGTTTTGTGTTCTAGATTATTGACTGATGACATTTATATGGACTTGTTCTATTATACAGTTGTAGTTTATATATATCTTAGTTTTAGATACGAGATAAACTTCTACAGGAGGGAAATTTGAAGATAACAAGATTTACGGAAGGAGAGATAGAGAAGTACTATAATTAAATTACGTAGCAACGACAAAAAGCAAACTTTAAATTTCAGTTGTAACTTTTTTCCTTTCTTCTAGAAAAATGTTTTTGTTTTGTTTAATATGATTAAACTTAAATTGACTTTAGAGACATTTTAAAACGAATACATTGTAATATTCTAAATGTTGTTTATTTACATATTTTATCATGATTCATTTATAATAATCAGTTAACAAAAAATTTCAATATTTTGTTAATTTTATTTTATACCTTAACCTTCATATAATAAAATTTTAAGTCTATTTATTTAGTAGGTGTTTGAGAATATACAATACCATAAAATTTTTACAGTATTCACATAAAATAACCTTAACTACGTACATTATTCCTGGTAAAAATTTTGCAAAACGTATTTTTAAAGGAAAGCCCTGCAATATTGTGATGAGTTTATCGTATAAGCTCTTTCAATTTTAGATAAAAGCCTTTGCCAACAGCTTCATGATCGTACAATAGTATTTTTTTTATGTTTTTTCCTTTTGAACGAAAAGAATATTTAATGTTTCCACCTTTCTATATATATATGACAAAGGAATTGTTTAACATATATTTTATTATATAATATTTAATATATATTGTTAGTATAAATTTAATTTTCGATACCTCATTCTTCCTTTACGTTTGTAGTCAAATAGCACCAGACCTTAGAATATACCATATGAACCTGCTGCTTTGAATTGTTTCAAGTGATTAATATGGTTCACCTTAGCTTTTCTCCTTCTACAAGTGATTGAACATTATCATTTTTGTTTTTTAAAACTTTTTAAGCAGCCTTATATCATCGGAACATCGGGATCAATGGATAGAGAGTAGTAAACCACAAGAATCCAAAGTTTATGATGTGTATTGAAAGTCGAGGTTGAACAGGGATCATAGCTCAAGACCAAAGAGTATGAAATAGAATTTTCTCACTAGGTTTGCCTGGTTTAAAATTTTGATGCTGGTGTTTCTTTATGTTCTGAAGCTGACGTATTCGTTTAATCTGGATTTCTCCAACTTTATCTCATTTATCTTCAATCAATGACTCACATATGTTGCGTGGTATAAATATTTGTGCTGACAGGTGTGAATCAACTAGAATAACCTACGTATGTATATCAATACCGACACTTGAAGTCATTTGACACCATTAAAAAAATGTGAAGGAATATATGTATTTTATTTTTTAATAATACAAGAAGTACATCAATTTATTGGTGTTTAAGTCTTTGTTAATAAAATAAAATACATACATATTATAACCATTATTTCTAACAGCTACTTTAAACGTTGTGATGCGAGTATTTAAATCA